GGCTTTGGCTCTGGCCCGTGGGATTGCCACCCCTGTGGCGCTGCGGGCCCCGCACCACTCCCAGAAGCGACAGACATCAGGTCCCTGCGGGCCCTGGGGGAGGGGAGGCAGAGGGCTCCGTGTGCTGCCCTTGCCTGCAGGCACTGCCCCCCACAGCTCCCATTGGCTGGGAATGGGGAACAGGAGCCCTCTCCCTCCCCCCCACCCCCACCAGGGGCCTCAGAGCCATGGTGCCGGCCACTTCTGGGAGCACAGTGCGAGGCCAGGCCAGGCTGCACGCTGCTGCCATCCTGGAGCCGCTCCAGGTAAGTGACATTCAGGCTGGAGCCTGCACCCCGAACCCTTCCTACACCCCTGCCCCAGCCCTACATTCATGGCCCTGCATGAAATTTTCCCACCCAGATGTGGTCCTCAGGCCAAAAAGTTTGCCCATCCCTGTTCTAAATGAAACTTGTCCCCTACTCGTGGCTTTGGCCACTCTTCCAGTGGGAGGACCCAAATCCATCCACTATTCCAGGTCCCAACCCAGGGACCCTACAAATAACAGCCACATGCTGCTCCTTTAATAATTGCTACTGTTATTCCCTGGGCCATTTCCCATGTAGCCGCTTTCTCTTCACCCTTACCTCAGGGCTGAAGTTCTTCCTCATGGAATGCCAGTGTCACTAGAACCCATCTTCTGGTTCTCCCTTGAGCTCCAGCAAGGAGCACCTGCCTTGCTCCTCTGGTTCCTGCCAGCAGTTGGTCTGTTCTGGCCCTCCAGCTTCTTCTAACTGAGCCTGCTGGACTCTGATTGGCTGCTTCCCTGCAGCCTTTCTAGGCAGGCCTGGAGAACTCACTTTCACTGCTCCTTTTCTGGGGTAGGATGAGGTAGGGGGTGTCAAAGGGCCTGGTCCACCCCATCATAAAGGTATTTCATGCTCCAAAACATGTTAATTCTGTCAAACTGTTTGTAGTAGCTCATGAACATAAGTGCCAACTTCAGGGCAGACTGTTACAAACCAGGACACAAACCCCATACTGGTTGGGTGTTCTATAATTAGATTTCACTAATCAAGTATCAAGAGTGAACTCCTCAAGTACTATAACAGCCTTAACGTAGTCACAGACAGTCCCCTTGGACTCAACTATCTTGCCACCTAGGCAAGCCTGTCTTTGTGATAGATGGTACTTTACCCCAAAAATCACAACAATATTTGGGTTTGACCAGTCCCATAGGACTGGTCACTTACCCCAGGACAATTGTACCTTAGACCATTGTCTCAAAGAAAATGCTTGTAGCCAATCTTATATTAAGATAACTAAAGGTTTATTAACTAGAAAAAAGAAATAGGTTTTTACAAGATTAAAAAAGGTAAACATACACACACCAGTGAGTTACAGTCTTAGGTTCCAAAAAGAAATAGAAGCTGCTACAATGTGCAAGCTCTATATGTCTTTTAGGGCTAACACAAGCTAAGCAGTATGTGCTACCCCTTGCTTATGCTGAGAAATATTGCCCTCTCCAAAATCCAAGCAGCACAGAGATACAAATCCTTCTGGTCAAGGATTTTTATTCCCTTCCCCCACAGTTCAGACAGTGATAGGATGAGGCTTTGTGTATGTCCCCTCTTCATAGGTGTGGGGAGAGCAATCAACACGGTCTTTTGTCCACTGATGTTCCACAATGTGCAATCTGGTATCTATAGGCCTTCTTTTGATGGGCAGGAAATGACACCTCTTGTAGTAGCTGATGCAGCAACTCATGGTGTCAGACACATCAGATATCAAGGGCCATCTACATAGAACACATCACTGGACATCAGCAATATCAGGAGGAGAAATGCAGCCAGGAAAGTAACTGAAATACTTCCCTGGTGGATTGTATTTTCTAAATGAACAACCTACCCTAAAAAGCTCAATTACTGAGGGACAATCTACACTCATTCCTATATTTGCTTTCTACAACCAACTCTCTGTAGAACTTGTCATGAGTGATGTACCCGAGTATTCGGATTCTAATATCTAAATGGTATTCTTAAATTTATTCACCTTAATTTGGGTTGATTATGCACTATATGTATCTTATGGACTTAAAACAAACTTTGTATTGTGGATAATCTAAGCACTATGCCCAGATGTATAGACACTCTTTCCTTAACCTGTTTATATATAATTTAACATTAGCTTTAATAACATTTTTAAATTAGTATCACAGTTGGTAATGCTCCTCTCCTGACTATGGTGGTTTCCAGTGTCATAGCAAACACTTTGATAGTTACAAAGTAAACACTTTAAATTTTACCTTATAATATGAGATACAGATATTATAAGTGAGATTAATGCATGCAGCAACTCACAAGCTTTTCATAAAATCCAAACACTGAACACATCTCTATAAATCTATTTTAACAGTACTAACATAGGTGAGCCAGACTAGTCTCCAGCTATTCATTTGTAAGTGTTCAGTGAGACCTAAGGGCCTTAGCATGAGCTGGCATCTGGTCTTCCAGCGTCACAAATTCCTTAGAGTTTGTGCAGCGATTTCTAACAAAGGGGCTAATTTGTGCTAGATGTGGTGGTTTTGTGATGAGGATACCCATCAAACAGAATCTCCAGTGAGATCAAACGACTGATGACTGACGTTACAGCAGGCACCAAACATCCATATGTACTACATCTGCTCCTCCTTTCTGCTACTAAAAATATTAAATCTTTGCCGTGTTTGTATCATCTAGTTTGTAGTTTGGTTTGGCAACTGGCAGAATTACTAATGAAATCTAATTTTACTACCTAATGGAAAACCACAACAACATTTTGCAAATTGAACTCTACCATGCAATAGAAAAGATACATAAAGTTCAAACCATGTAAACCTAACAGAAAGCCCTGTCTTTTTTTGGCTCTGCATTGTTACATTAATAAAGTAAATGATGTAGTAATGAGGCCATTATTCTGGCATCATCACCTAAACTGAGAGACAGATCAGATCGTTCACCTTAATGGTGTCTGTCTCTTTCTTATGGAAGTTTCAGTAAAGAACAGAAAGCTGAAGACCCTCTCAGTCTGCAGGACCAGACTCCAAGGGTGAGTGTTTCTCAGTGTACTGCTGAAATTCAGTACACTGAGAAAATGTCTGAATTTATGTATTAGAACATTACACAAGTCTTCTCTCTTCAGGCAGGGCCAGATTAACATTTTGTGGGCCTGGCGCCAAATATATTTGTGCGCCTCCATAGGAGCAATGGAGCATGGCGCAGGGAAGTCAGTCCCCAGAGCGAGGGGCCAGCCAGGGGCAATGGGGCACAGGATGGCAGGAGTGGCCCCGCTCCGCCCAGCCCAGTGCGAGGGCACTATTTACAAACTGGCAGTTGCCAGACGCACAGTGGCCCACCCAGCCCTGTGCTGCCAGTGTGCCCCTTCCCCTCAGGGGCAAGCCCATGCCATGCCACACAGCCCCCCCCACCCAACACCCCATAGGTGCTGATTCCGTGGGTGCTCCAGGGCTGGAGCACACACAGGAAAAAAAAAAAAGGTGGGTGCTGAGCACCCACCAGCAGCCCCACCGATCAGATCCTCCCCCTTGTCCCCAGCGCCTCTGGCTTGCTGCTGATCAGCTGTTCAGCAGCGGGCAGGAGGCATGGGGGGGAAGGGAGAGGACAAGGGGCAGGAAGAGGCGGGGGCACTCTGGGGAGAGTGCTGAATGGGGCAGGAAGAGGTGGGTGGCAGGGCATTGGGGGAAAGGGTGGAGTGGGGGCAGGGCTTGGGACAGAGCTGGGGTCAAGCACCCATGGGGAACTCAGAAATTCAGCACCTCTGCCACATTCCCCTTCCCATCCCCCCGACTCCCTATGGCCAGAGTCCCCCCAGCCGACAAATGCAGAGCGCCCTGCAGGCCAAGACGAGCAAGTGGTGGGCGGAGGGTAGCCAGAAAGTGAAGCAGGCCGGGGCCCCTTCTGAGCATGGGCCTGGCTCCATGGCACCACTGCCACCATTGTAAACCCAGCACTGTCTTCAGGAGCCATTCTATGGCACAAGCTTCTCCAACTCCACTCTGCTTTCTGGTATTTTAGTGATAACCAGAGCAAGTTTTAAACAACAAAAAACTATTTAAACAAGAAAATACTTAAAATAACTATAGTACTGATGCTCCTGTAATCTAGCCTTGCTGAACTCTCTTCATCCACCACTCCTATAGGTTCCCATCTATCTGTTGCCAAGTCACACATGGAGAAAGAAAAAAAAAAAAAAGCAGCACTACCTTTCAAAATAAGCCCAAAACAAGCCCAACTCGTTTCAGAGGGAGGGAAGTGGGGGCATTGCTTCATTCATAATGAAAGAGATGCCCCGGCGGCACAAATTAAACACGGCACACCCTAAAAGAGGCAGGAACAGTGAGAGATTTTCCTCCTGAGACCTGGAAAGGAAAATACTCAAATGTTTGCAACAGGGTTTAACCAGGGCAAAGCTGGGGGAGGGAGGAGGAGAGAATAATGACACATGTGCCTCTTTCTTTCCAAAGTCAACAGCCAACACTTACTAGGCAAGGTCTACCTCACCCAGTTCAGACTCCAAAACCTGGCTGAGGACAAGTGGGGCAAGCACTAAGCTCTGCTAGCACATGGTGGGAGAGCCAGGCAGTGAGTGAGGGGCAGGGGACAGCCAAAGGAGGGGGCAAAGCTGGGGAGGGGGAGGTGGTGGCAGAGGCCATTCACTGGGTGACCGACTTCAACCAGAGGGGACTCACCTCCTGAGGCACAGAGAAGGCCGTGGCGGTGGTGTCCCAGATGGTGGCAGCTGGAGGCCGCAGCAGCGAGGCTGGGGGCTTATGGACCTGGAAGTGGCTGGCCAGGCCCCCGTGTCCTGCCCACAGCACAAGAGCAGGAGCAGGGACCATAGCAACAGAGCTCTCCCCTAAGCCTCACCTACACGACAAAATGTTGTTGTAGCAATGTGCATGGAACTGGAGGAAATGAGAACAGGCTGCAGGAGGGAAAAGTTTGGAGAAGGCACCAGGAAGCTAGCCTGGGTACCCATGCTTTGAATGATAACTGCTGTTGAATGCTATCACAGACAGCGACAAGCAGTCACAAGCAGAGATGAAGGCGTCATGCTACCACCACCCCTCTACTTCAGGGGCAGGCGTGAACCCACCTGACTGCACCTGTGGTTTGAGACATTGCTGACCTTGGACAACCAATTGTGAGTGGGGAGCAGTAGAGGGAAACATGCAACAGTGACTTAAAAGTATGTAAACAATAAGTATTTTGGGCAGTGGCCTTTGCCTCAGTTTCACAGCTTGCATTGTGCAATTACACTTTAAGAATCAATTGTTTGTAAAGCAGTTTATAAGTAATGATAGGTGACTCTCAAACTGTTTAAATCATCATCCCAGTAGCTTAGTAAAGGGGAAATAGCCCATCACAGAGACGAACAGCCATAATAAAATCAGTAAAGTTTATAGTAGCAGTGGCATTGCCTTTTTCAGTGTCATGAAAAGGCTGACTACATGGTATGTAGCTCCCACTAGAGAATTCCTTAGATTTTTCAAAATATATTGTAGGAGAAGCAGCTGAAAGATACCCACTATGAATGTTATTTCACCTCCTACATTTGCTCCTCTGCTCATTCCTTCAAAAAGGGGCTATAGAAGCTTAACTAATATTTCTAGTCAGCTTTTTTCCAATGTCCTTGGAGTGAAAAATTATCTTTTGGCAAGAAAAACACGTGCCATTGTTGTTTAATATGGCATTTCATGTAGTTATATAGTAGGTACTTTAGCAGTTGCTTCTACAGATTATTTCAGGGATTCTGCAGTACGAACTATAGTTTCTGCTCTTACATTTAGGAATCTCAGGAATTAGGCACCCATTATACAGGTGATGATCCTAATATTTCAATATTTTTTTGAATTCTAGAGAGAGGAGATATAGCCAACATACCTAATTCAGGAATCATACAAAGGATGATATAATATGCTCCTGATATATCAGGAATCTCTCATTTATTCAGTACAGGAAATCTCATTGAGCCATGCTTCTGTTCTATTTCATAGAAAACAGCAACGGGTTGTCACAGGGTTAGGTATCCCTTCATTTAGCTTAAGTATAAATGGTGAAATATAAATAAACTTCTAAATAGTGACAATCAATTAAGTGAACACTTTTTAAAGTGCATGATGGTTGACTATTTTGGCACTTGGCAGACATATTTGATAAAACTGAATAATTTGAAAATCTTTCTTCAACGTCTAGAACAAACATTGTGATTTCAGAAAAAACATACTGCATTCAAGAAGAAGAAAATATCCTTTGAGAAACTCGTGTGAAAGTGGTAGTGTAGAAGTATTTTTAAGCATGAGTGGATTCCTAAAGAAAATGAATTAGAATATGAAGATGTAAAATTGTTGGTCTTGACTCATCAACAATCTTGAAGCTCATTTTCAACAGTGTGTTTTCAGATTGTGACACAGACCATGGGTGGTTCACTACTCTGTGTCAGCAACTCTTGTCAGACCTGACATACTGACCACACACAGTTGTCATAATCTGTATCTAAAAGACTTCAGAGGAACAGCCATGTTAGTCTGTATTTGCAAAAAGAAAAGGAGTACTTGTGGCACCTTAGAGACTAACCAATTTATTTGAGCATGAGCTTTCATGAGCTTTCGTGAGCTACAGCTCACTTCATCAGATGTATACCGTGGAAACTGCAGCAGACTTTATATACACACAGAGAATATGAAACAATACCTCCTCCCACCCCACTGTCCTGGTGGTAATAGCTTATCTAAAGTGATCAACAGGTGGGCCATTTCCAGCACAAATCCAGGTTTTCTCACCCTCCACCCCCCCACACAAATTCACTCTCCTGCTGGTGCTAGCCCATCCAAAGTGACAATAGCCCGACTTGATTATGTAAAGAGTTGTCACTTTGGATGGGCTAGCACCAGCAGGAGAGTGAATTTGTGTGGGGGGGTGGAGGGTGAGAAAACCTGGATTTGTGCTGGAAATGGCCCACCTGTTGATCACTTTAGATAAGCTATTACCACCAGGACAGTGGGGTGGGAGGAGGTATTGTTTCATATTCTCTGTGTGTATATAAAGTCTGCTGCAGTTTCCACGGTATACATCTGATGAAGTGAGCTGTAGCTCACGAAAGCTCATGAAAGCTCATGCTCAAATAAATTGGTTAGTCTCTAAGGTGCCACAAGTACTCCTTTTCTTTTTGTATCTAAAAGGTGTCATGTAAAGTATCCTATATAGACAGGTAACTGGCTGGTCCTGAAAACCATTGTATGGTGTATATATGCGGTGTGTGCAATGAGATAAAAATATGCACTAAAATTGTGTTTGTGTTTGGAAATTGCTCTATGCATAATCCCAAACTGCCCTAGACAAAGTAATGTGTATTTGCTTGTTCAGCCAGCTGGGTCATCAGGCAGAGACAACGAAGATAAATTTACTTATAAGGTTAACAAAGTTATCAAGTGATGGAGAAGACAGCATAGCTTCTATAGGACAGAAACTTTGTCTGGGCTTACATTTCAAAGGTTTTCTGGACAATAAAAGGAAGGAGCGATAACTCCATAGTTATCCATTACTGGGCAGATACAAGAGACCAGGGCTCTTGTAGATCTAAGAAAAGTGGCTCCTTCAAATCAGAGGGTTGAAGTCTCTGGAATATAGATGAGAAAGATGCTTTGGCAAAGATAGTAATTTGCTGAAGTTAAGTTTTAGTCTTAGAAGCAAAATTCTACTTTTGTTTGTAACCATTTCTATCCTTACTCTTTGTACCCTGGTATCACTAAAACCTATGACTTTTTGTTTAATAAACTTCTGTTACTTTTTCTATAAATCACTTCAGTGCTGTGATTGAGATAAGAGCAGGTTTCAGAGTAACAGCCAGGTTAGTCTGTATTTGCAAAAAGAAAAAGGAAAAACTTGTGGCACCTTAGAGACTAACCAATTTATTTGAGCATAAGTTTTCATCTGATGAAGTGAGCTGTAGCTCACGAAAGCTTATGCTCAAATAAATTGGTTAGTCTCTAAGGTGCCACAAGTACTCCTTTTCTTTTTGAGATAAGAGTGTTTGTCAAACACTAGTTAAAATAATGAGCTGCAGTGTATCAACTCTTTAAACGAGCAACAAACTTACTATCTTCTTTGAATATACAATGATAAGAACTGTGCATTGCAGAGACATCTCTGAGGATCTCAGGGGCTGGAGTTCACTGACTGATGCCTGCTAGGCAAAGTTAAGACTGGTGTAGTCTGGAGGAGTTTGCTGGTGAGGAAGACAAATAGGCGTGGCAGGGAGCTGACACATAGTCCCATCTCCGCCAAAGCTCACTCTTGCTAAGGCAGAGAGGTAACAGTGGTTACAGCAGTGTGTTACACAGATGCAGACTTTTCAGAATATTATTGGATTTTGAACAGTCAAAAACTTAATTAGCTTTACTTGTTTTCCATTCATAGCTCAGAAACCTTTCAGAATTCAGTAGCAACAAGACTTCTCAAAATTCAACTGAACTCCTCTTAATGAGTTTTTGCCATCAGCTAAAAATGAATATCCTCAATTGTCCCAACAAGCCATACGAAATTTAATTCCATCCACATCTGTTTACTTCTGCAAAACTGTATTTTACACCAGGCAGTAAATAAAGACAAATTCATCTTTAATTAGGAGACCTACAAACTAGCCAACAAAAGATTTTCTGTTTGAAGATGGAAATTTATCCTTCCTTCTAAATATCCATTATGTCAGTAAACCCATTATGTCAGAAGTCATTTAAAAGTTAAAATTAAAGCCTATAATAACTATATTTGTAATAAATTTGAGAAAGTGCGGAGTTAAAGACATTTAGAATTTATTACTATATAAAAGGCAGTTTATGGGGGTTTATGCCCTGCACTGGCAAATAAAGGGTTAATGTGAGTCTGTGGTACCTGGAGGAGAGACCGCTAATTAAGGATTGACTTAGCTAGGGAGAACCAGACTGGGTGGAGTGTAGGGCCACTAGGGAGAACTGAGTATCAGGGGGTAGCTGTGTTAGTCTGTATCCACAAAAACAACAAGGAGTCTGGTGGCACCATAAAGACTAACAGATTTATTTGGACATCCGAAGAAGTGGTTTTTTACCCACGAAAGCTTATGCCCAGGGAGAACTGAGCTGCAGCTGGGAGTTCAGACCCTAGGACTGCAACCGAAGGGAGAGAGTAGCAAAGATGAAGGGGTTTTAGGCAGCTCCAGACATCTAGAGAATGCTCCTTAGCAACAGACTGGGAACAGCTATTTGTGAAGACAAAATTCCACAGAGGGTGAGGACAGAAGAGCGCAGCTCCACAATAGATGCCTTCAAGTAGGCAAAGGTCAGAAGTAGCTCAGAGAATCAGTGAGGAATCGCAAGGAACAGACACTAACTGCTTATGGACTGTGAGCATTGCAGTGTCTGTTATAGGCACTAGATGTGGTATGGAGTGGCACTAATTTTAAGACTCTGCTTTTCTGCTATTTTAAAAACCCATGACTTGCAAAAATTAGTTTTTTTATGTATCATGCATTGCAGATTCTTTATGAATGTACAGTATTTCTAATTTATAATAAAACAATGAAACAGGTTTACAATGAAACGGTGCAGTGGAGAGCAGTATATAACAGTTTCGAGGAGGGAACTCCAATTCACTGGTGAGTGTACATCTTGCTCTTGTTCTTTTGCCTTCTGGCCCTGAGTGTTGGGACTCAATGCTGTCAGGGGCATTTAATGGGTGGAATAAGTTGGGATCCTGGATGAGCTGAGGCTGGGGAGGGAAATGGCATCTGGGAGCATGGCTGTGGGGGTTGTCAAGGTTCCTTCCCCACTTTGAACTCTAGGGTACAGATGTGGGGACCTGCATGAAAGACATCCTATGCTTATTCTTACCAGCTTAGGTTAAAAGCTTCCCCAAGGTACAAACTTTGCCTTGTCCTTGAACTGTATGCTGCCACCACCAAGCGTTTTAAACAAAGAACAGGGAAAGAGCCCACTTGGAGACATCTTCCCGCAAAATATCCCCCCAAGCCCTACACCCCCTTTCCTGGGGAAGGCTTGATAATAATATCCTCACCAATTGGTACACGTGAACACAGACCCAAACCCTTGGATCTTAAGAACAATGAAAAAGCAATCAGGTTCTTAAAAGAAGAATTTTACCTAAAGAAAAGGAAAAAGAATCACCTCTGTAAAATCAGGATGGTAAATATTTTACAGGATAATCAGATTCAAAACATAGAGAATCCCTCTAGGCAAACCTTAAGTTACAAAAAGACACAAAAAAAGGAATACATGTTCCCTCCAGCACAGCTAATATCACAAGCCAAAAAAACAAAAGAAAATCTAATGCATTTTCTAGCTAGATTACTTACTAACTTTACAGGAGTTGGAAGGCTTGCATCCTTGATCTGTTCCCGGCAAAGGTATCACACAGACAGACAAACAAAAGCCTTTCCTCCCCCCCCTCCAGATTTGAAAGAATCTTGTCCCCTCATTGGAGATTTTGGGTCAGGTGCCAGCGAGGTTACCTTAGCTTCTTAACCCTTTACAGGTGAAAGGGTTTTGTCTCTGGCCAGGAGGGATTTCATAGCACTGTATAAAGGGAAGGGTAACCACCTTTCTGTATATTTATGACAGGGGTACAGCAGGGAATGTATGCTGGTGTTTGCAATACCCTATATCATTCCAGGTGCAGTAGAACATGACTGAGTCCTGGTTGAGGGCACTGGCTTGTCTGTGGGCCTGCTAGCAGCATACACTCCAGCAGAGCATTCTTCTTCTGTATTTTCTCCAGGAGTTGCCTCTGCATGTCCCTGTCTTTCTCTGCAGTGCTGTCTCTGCCCACTTTGACGCTCTGGATAACTGCCTGTCTTTTTCCCTCTCTGACTCCAAACAACCTCCAGCTCCAGCAATTATAGCTTTTGGGGGGGGGGGGGGTATGTATTTGATTTCCCCTCCATGAGCTTCTTGCCAATCTTGGGGAGACCTCAGAGATGGCAAGTGGTGTGTGTTGGGGGCTAGAGTGGGAATTTTGGGTGGACAGTATGCTGTTCATGTTTGCAGTTGTCTTGGGGGCTGTTGGGTGAGGGTTGGGAATTAGGTTCCCAGTTTGGGTTCACAGTTCAGGCTGTGCCTTGGTGGTACTTACATGGTGTCAGAGAGGTTGTGGGGGCAGCATCTGGGAGCAAGCTGGATAATAATGGCCTCTTCATTCCCTGTAGGTTGTCCTGACTCACCATGCAACATTACTCTGAGCTGGGTAACTAGAGGCCAGAGAACAGTATTTTTCAAAAAGGCTAAGGGCATACCAGCGAGATATGTTGTGAAGTTATTCACCAAGATGTCCTCCCTGACCCCTACGGTGCTTTAGAAGTGGAAAGGACTTGTGAGCTTTCCTGTGGTCAATGACTGTGCAGCTATCCTACAGAATGTCCACACTACAATCAAACAAGTTCTCAGTCTTAGATTCTACTGTATCTCCCCTGCAGACATGCTGAAAGTACATTACAAAAAAGATTGGGGTCTGTATTCATTGTCTGAAACCTCGTAGGCTTTTTCTATGTAAGCTTGTGAAAAAGCCATTAAGAGTTGTACAGCTGTGCTATCCTGAAGGTAAACTTCTCTTCTTTTACAAATCCCTGCTACAAGCCAAATATGCCTCACCAGAGAGCTGTCATTTTACTATCTTTATGGGCATCTAATGCCCATGTTTACCTCATGTAAATGGAGAACACTAACCAAACTTTTTTCCCCCGTAACTGTCTCAAACTGTTAAGTTCCCTCCTAAGCTCTAGTATGATTTATGTGGGATTTCAGTATTGTACATCAGCTGTTCTGTTTGTTCTCTTCAGAAGCAATTATATGTATCACACTGAATTGTCCTATATCTTTTCTGAATACCCTCCCAAATGAAATAAAATACCTTGTCTCATTTGCTAACATTTTCAATTCCTAGCTGACTGATCTATATGTTAATGATCATTTATTTTCTCAGTGCTGCTGGAACAGTCAGTCTTGCTTCTCTTAGCAAAATGTCCTCCTCACTAACTTCTTCCTTAAATGACTGATCTGGTCTCAGTTTGGGGTCTAAATCTCCACTTTCTTTGGACCATCCTTTTAAAACAGTTACTCTCAGTTTATGCTAAAAGTAGTCTCCATTTTTCAGTTTAAAATTCTCCTAATTATGAAGTAATAATAGGAATATGCCTCACCACATGAATTCTGTACTCATCAATAACACTTTCATGTGGTATTGATCTGTTTATCACCCTGTTCAAGACATCCATGTCTTTACTCCTTTTATATTCTACACAGAAATAATATTTCTGCACCTTCAACGTCATACATTAGCTTCTAGTTTGCTGCTGAAGACCAAGGTTTTTAAAAACAAACTAGTGCTAATTTCTACATTTAGAACTTTCTGTCCTGTATAAATTGTGTATAGGGTTGTTGAACCGAAGATAAACAAAACTAAAACACAGTTGGTAGTATCCCCTCTTCAAGCTTGCCATAATTTCTTTCTGCCTTCTATGCAATTGCTTGCCCTTCTTGCATAAGACTTGACCTACTTCTCTGGAAGATGCACCTATTGACAATACACCTGACCCAGGTAACTCACAGTATTTTAAAATGGATAGATTAGTGAACAATGTTTTAAACTGCTCTTTATGTCTGTTTTCCCAGTGCTTGACAATATTATTTTCCAGCAATTTTCTTAACAGGAAATTTGAGGCCCTCATAGCACTCCTACAATATCTCCATTTCATGCTAGAATGTGGAGAATTATAACTAAATGGATCCCAGTTCTGTACAAACCACCCAGCTCTCCAGTGCACTTACAGTATACATATCTCATCCCATAAGATATATCAGATGAGCACAGATTTACATTTACATACTCCTGCGGGAATTCTGCACCACTGCGCTATGCAGAACTTGTACAGAATTAATGTTCTGCACAGAATTTAATTTTTTCCTGAAGAATTGGTGTTGCAGAGCTGCTGGCCCCCACTAAGGGCCGTTGGACCCAGCAGAGCCTGGCTCCCCAGATCGAAAATAGAGGACACTGCTGGGAAGAGGGGGTGGGTTGCTAGCATTCCCTGAAGGAAGGAGGTAGCGTGTGGGCCGTGCCCCTGCAGTGAACCGAGGGCCCAGCCCAGCCCGGCAGCGATGGAGGCCCTGCTCACTGTCAGCCCTGACAGTCCAACACTGAAATCACCACAGGAAACTCCATACAAGCACAGTCTGACCTGCATCATGCTCTCTCCCCCTTTGGCTCCCTGGGCTTGAGGAATAAGGGGGTCCAGGTATCTGGCCCTGCAACAGGGCTTGGGGAGGGAGGAGGTACAGGTGTCTGGGATGGGGGCACCCCATGGTTGGGCTCTGCAGGGGAGGGGTAGCAGTTGTCTGGGCCGGGGGGGCTCTGTACCACCCCCTCAAACACCCCCAAATATCCTCACCCAGTACACACAACCCACAAGCATCCCCCAACTGTACCCCCCCACAACTCCTCTTCCACCCGGCAATGTCCTCCATTTGATCCTCTATATGGTAACCCTACAGAGGCAGGGCAAAAAAACGAGCATCAGCTAAAAGACCTGAGGGACAGAGTTTTCACCCCAGATAGTGTGTATGATCAGACTGAGGTACCCAACAAAAGCGTTACAGAGAAACAGGAACTGGGTTGTTGTAGAGATTTCTTTAACTCTCTACTCCTGGGGAAATTTTTTGTGTCTATGTTGTTGAGACATACTTGCTGACAGGTATTTTGAAATAAATTACCAGAATAATTGAAACTAACCTGATTATATTGTGTTATTTTCACAATTAAAATATGCAGGATTTTGCAAAATTTTAAAATATTGTGCACATAATTTACTTTTTTTGGGTACAGAATTCCCCCAGGAGTAAACATTTACAGTACCCCCTTCCCCAAAAAGGGAGAATTTCCCCCCACCCCCAATGGAGAGAAGAGCAAATTGTATTAAAAAATTTGAGAGAGCTTTGAAGCACCCATCGTTGCCTGTATTCATGAGATTGGCAGTAGGCTAAGTCTGTCCCTGCTAAGACCATTCTATTTCCATATAAAAACAAAATTCATGAACATTATTTTTCAGTTGTCACTCATCCCAACAGCCACTTCTGCTTATTGTGAAACTCAGCTTTGCTCTCTGGATCGCTTGGCAAATAACATTGTTGTAATATAATGGAGATGATTCAGAATGTTTAGAGAGCTGCTATCCAGATTGTAGCTTTCAGAGTGGTAGCCATGTTAGTCTGTATCAGCAAAAAGAACGAGGAGTACTTGTGGCACCTTGGAGATTAACAAATTTATTTGAGCATAAGCTTTCATGGGCTAAAACCCACTTCATCAGATGCATGCAGTGGCATAACATTATTGACATAACCTGGGACCATATAGATCATTGTTGCAACCAAGGTCCTGTAGTGGCACCAAATCTTATATAAAGGGGGTCAAATGAGGTATCTTAGACAAGGTTATGGTTTGCTGGTTATGATTATGCTATCTGTAGGTGTATATCATTTTTATAGTTGAACTTATGAATATTGGCTCTGTACTGTCTGTATTTCAAACTTATGCTATGCTTTTAGGTGATGCCTCAGACAAGTTGGTGTCAGCTCTGCCTAGCCTGCTTGATGGCCCATTAAGGACCATCAGCCATATAACTGACCCTCTGAGAGAAGGCAGACACACCTTGTGACTCAGCAAGTTATGCAGGGACATGCCTATGGACAGAACTCTGAGGTTTTTCCAGCCTATGTAATGGACAGCTTGTCTTTGGAACAAAGAAAGACCACATGGCAAGAGACTATAAAAAGCTGCTGCAGCTCCTCCATCTGGTCTTCAATCCTGCTTCCTACCTCTGGAGGGACTTGGCTACACTGACGCTCTGAACAAAGGACTGAAAGACCCATCCCAGCTGTGGATGTACTCCAGAGATTTGATTTGAACCTGCAGTTTATTCCATCGCTGCTGCAAGCCTGAACCAAGAACTTTGCCATTACTGTATGTAATTGATTCCATTTAACTAGTTCTAGCTCTCATCTATATCTTTAAATTTTAGATTCTAAAGGATTGGCAACAGCATGATTTGTGGGTAAGATCTGATTTGTATATTGTCCTGGGTCTGGGGCTTGGTCCTTTGGGATTCCCTTGGGAACTGTTTTTCTTGTACTGGGGTATTGGTTTTCATAACCATTCATCCCCATAACGAGTGGCATTGGTGGAGATACTAGCAAACTGGAGTGCCTAAGGGAATTGCTTGTGTGACTTGTGGTTACCCAGTGGGGTGAGACCAAAGTCTGCTCTGTTTGGCTGGTTTGGTTTGCCTTAGAGGTGGAAAAACCCCAGCCTTGGGCTGTAACTGCCCTTCTTGAAGCAATTTGCCCTGAATTGGCACTCTCAGTTGGGTCCTGCCAGAACCAGCATCGTTACAAGTGGAAAATACAATAGGAAGATATATCTATATATACACATATACATACATACACACAGAGAACATGAAAAAATGGGTGTTGCCATACACACTATAATGAGAGCTGTTAAGGTGAGCTGTTATCAGCAGGAAAAAAAAAATTTGTAGTGATAATCAGGATGGCCCACTTCCAAACAGTTGACAAGAAGGTGTGAGTCACAATAGGGGAAAAAATAAGCATGGGGAAGATAGTTTTACTTTGTGTAATGACCCATCCACTCCCAGTCTTTATTCTAGCCTAATTTAATGGTGTCCAGTTTGCAAATTAATTCCAATTCAGCAGTTTCTCATTGGAGTCTGTTTTTGAAGGTTTTTTTGTTGTAGTATTGCGACTTTTAGGTCTGTAATTGAGTGATTACAGTAATTCATCTGATGAAGTGGGTTTTAGCCCATGAAAGCTTATGCTCAAATAAATTTGTTAGTCTAATTTGCCACAAGTACTCCTCGTTCTTTTTATCCAGATTGTAGGGACCAGTGAGTTGGTCTGAGTTGCAGAAAGGTCAAGGCCAGCTGCAGGGCAAGAAGGGAAGGAGATGAGAAAATGCGCAGAACTAATGAAACAGGGAAACACACATTTCTAGTGTTACCTTCTCCTTTTACCTGTGGCTCTCTCCATTCCTTTTCCTTAGCAACATGCAGAGAGCTGCCAGTAGCCCCGAGATACAGTTCTAGGCAGCAGCTGACATAATTAATTTTAGACCAGACCCTAGCTCTGCTTCACGGACTTTTCTGTTTCCATAACGTCAAGGCAGCATTTGTACACACAGATATTTGAGATGCAATTTTTATATTAGCCTGAAACTCTCACATGTTGCTGTCACTGGGTCTGCTAGGCTGTCTGGGCCCCTTACTAAACAACAATGTTGCATTACAAGCAGGTCTTGCGGCTCAGTTTTTTGCAAGCAGGCTATCGAAGGTGTAGATAATGGGAAGCTGGACTGAGGCACAAAACTCTGAATGGATATATAAACTTGGATTAACAGCAGGCAAAGTGTGTGAAGGCTTCTTACACAGATACTCGTTGCATAAGCAACCAAGGTGTGTACATGAGGTCAGTGTGGTGATGGCAGACCAGATGCCAGCTCATGGCAAGGCCCCAGGCCTCACTGAACACTTAAAAATGCATAGCTGGAAACCAGTCTTGCTTACCAGTGTATTAGCATGATCAAAATAAATATTGGATGTTAAGTTGATAAGAATGTGTTTAGTATTTACTAAAATGCTTGTAGGATGCTGCATGTATTGTTCTCACTCAACTATACCCTATGTTAAAAGTGATAGCAATAATTTGCATTGTAAACCTTTGTGACTAACTCATCAACCAGGGAAAAAGCCTTGTGTAATGCAAATGATGGCCTCTAACAAGATGATGTTAAATCCTGTTCATTAAACACAAATGAGCCATCCTGGGAGATCAAGGGTCAAAGACTTTTAAGTACATTCCTCCTCCCCAGCCTCCATGATGAAAGGACCTCCCTGGAAACAGTTCTTATCAGCTAGGTTTCTGAGGGAAGAAGATATAAAAATGCCTCACAAGGAAAA